CAATAAGATGAAATCAGTTTTTAATTTGAGATGTCCTTTAAAAAACCCATGGAGAAACCAGGTGAATTGACAGTCAGCCTGCATCAATATAGCGAATCGACCGGAGTTGCCTTCTTGGGACGATGCATTTGCATTGAAGCAGTGTTGTTGGTCTGATCCCGGCGGTCAGCACCGCCCTCCCATCCGGTCACATTGCGTGACATCAATACAGGTCTGCAGCTCTGGGCCGGCATGAATGTGGTGCGGTAAGCTGCGCATCTGTTGGAGAGATAGAGCATGTATGTTTATTTGTATTTTTCTTACTTAGTAGGTGGATTTGCTCCAGTGATTCTGCGGCCGCCGACGAGGTGAGGTTTTTCCATCAAATGATTTTACAGTCTGTTTGGTGTGACCACTGCTACTAGGTGCAGAGTAAGGACTAGGACAAGCATCAGTCATGTGAATTGTTAATCAATCTGGTTTTGCAAGTCGTTGAGTCGTAGTAGCTATGTAGGATTCCTAATGGATACTACCATGAATCGTGTTCTGTCGTTAAGGAGAACCTTTTCTAAATGTATTCCAGACTGCTGAGCCTCTTCTATTTTTTTCCTTTTGGCATGGATAAGGATTCGCCTTGAATACTATTATGTAGAGTACATCTCTGCAGTAGTTCTTTTTTTTTACAACAGAGTACATGTCTATAGTTAGCGTGGAGCGATAACTCATCTGTCATTTGCACTTGTTGTTTCATATGCTTTTATCAATAGTAAAGCTTCTGGGATTACAATTATAGTGGTTTACTTGGAGCTATTTAGTTGGAAGAAAACATAGATTGAAGATGGATATATCAGATGCACCTGCTTGATAGGATTCTTATTTAGTTATGTGGAGGCAGTGATGCTTCCTTTGATGTGGATATGTGTATTTTTTTAATATTTGCTTACTTGCTACTTGCTTGTCTATCAGGCTACTTTGGTAGATTTTAGAGAGAAAATTGTTTTTGAACAAGACTATCAAGGAAGCATCATGGCAAAGATATATGCTGCATTACTACAGTTGAGATAATTTGATTTGATTATAATATGTCAAGCTTCAGAAACTTCACTATGTACGTTGGTTTGGTGGTTTGATATTTGTCACACTATAGTAATAAGCAACATACGACACATAAATTCTTGATTTTTTTTCTGACTCAAGATCTCTACGCCTAAATTTATTGTTTTCTGGCACTGTGCGGACATTTTTCTCTTGGTGACCAATATCCCTCAAGCTATACGAGATTTGATTAACAACATAGGGATACTTTTTTAACTCGTGATGATAAGTATGTATATCTAGAATTCAAGTTTGAGTCACATGTACTTGGTTTAGTAGTACTCTTTCCGTTCAAAATAAACGTTGGGTTTTAGTTCAAATTTAAACCGACACTTATTTTGAAACGGAGGGAGTACATTGTATAGGGAAGAAGGTATCATACTATTTTGTGGGGTGAGCGCTTTAAGCAGGAGGGGTTGTCAGGGCTTCAAGTGGGTTAGTAGATAACAGCGAGCAACTAGCAAGGTTGGATCAACATTGGAGACGAATAACAATGGTGAGCGATGTTTAAATTTATGTTCCTTGACAACGCACGGGCACTCAGCTAGTTTGTGATAAAAGGATCTCCACATATCGAAGATGGCTGTAGGTAGGGCTCTAATAAGGACAGAAGGCACAGTTGAGGAGACAATAGTTATGACACACAACGGGAACATAAAAAAAAACATTACCAACAGTAGTGAAAATAACCTTCTATTTGTATATTCCCTCAAAAAAAACCTGCTATTTGTATAAATATGTTACTTGGTACTAAATAGAACAATAAATTTTGTCACGACCAATAAGCCTACATCAAGGCAGCCAATGTGATCACATATATCAAGTGTATGGCTTGGACACAATAAATGGCGACCTTTGCATGTTTAGGCGTCAGTTACCAGTGCCATTGCATGCATGCATGCATGCATGAGCTTGGTACTGCGGTTCCCTAGTGTATATCTGATGGCTATCGTAGACTAATCTAGTAGTACACGGCTAAAATAATTAGGATGATGTGGCTCAAGGAGAAGCTAGAGAATTCTTAGTAGTGGGGGCTAGCTATTTAGATACAGTAGATGATGACAAGTTAGTTGACAATACACGGCAATTTTTTCTCTCAAAGGTGTTTATAGGGGTATGGTGTGCATATGTGTGTTCATATAACTGAGTGTATGTGCATATATATGAGCATGTACGTATATACTGTATTAAAAAAATGTTTGATTTATCATGTGCTATCAGATTCCTTGTTTTTCGTTCCGTTTCTATCTCTGTTTTTTATGGTAATATGTGTTTTATTTATATCTCTGTTCCCCCATGTCATTCTTGCTTGAGGAGACGGGTTTCTAAATCCATCCTCAACCATGAATCAATCGCCTCATTGGGGAAGAATCTAAAGCTTCTTTATTCATCGTCGTCATCGCCACCGCCGAAGCCAAGACGATGGATGACCCATAAACCTAAACTACTAAGGTCTAACCTAAAGCTACACGACTCACACTCATAGATCCGGCGAGTCCCTCACCACCGATGACCGAGGTCGTTGGTGGAGGGGAGCCGCCGGAGGAAGGCGTCGGGAGGAACTCGTTGGCGGCGACTAGGGTTTTAGTCGCCTCCCATGGGGAAAAATGACTCGCGTTCATGTTTCTATCTTTGTTTCTTGGCATTTTTTGTATGGTAATACGTGTCTCATTCATAGCATAAAGATTAAAGTACAAGTTACATAAGGACCGACATGACAAAACTAAAAAGATAGTAGAACATCTCTAAGCTTAACACCAATGTTCGTCACCTGCCTCCGGCCCCACCACAGCAGCCACCGAAGAAAAGATTTACGGATCACCTCCTCACCCCGAGCTCGATGCGGCTCCATCACTCATATGCAGCTTTGTGGACCTCCAAGGTGGCTCACCATAAGTGAAGCCATTGTCGTTGAACGAATCAAACCGGGACAACATCCCGGACGCGCCATCGAACTCTAGATCCCCACCACGACTAAGACAATATATTATTGCAAGCCATCTTTGCTGGCTCAACACAACTCATGCCATGAGTAAGAATTGTGTGTATAACATACTATGAAAGAGCCTCCCTCCCAACACATGCCCAAATTTTCTCCGACAATTTTCCCTTGGATCCTCCCATTAATGTGATCGAAAGTAGAACTTATCTAACCTACCGTTGTGGGTAGCCTCAGATATCTTTCAGAAAAGGCCTCAACAATTCCAAGCCGTTATTTCAACTCCGCTCTTGACGAGGGCGAAATATTACGACTGAAAAAAATATCGAGCTCTTCTCCCAGTTTACCATCCGACCGGAGCAGTCGGCATATATCCGGAGATTTTTGTTCAAATGTCAACACTTTATATTTTTGCACCGAGAAATATCATACCATCATGGCATCATCTAAGAAAAGGAGATGATTAACTCACCGTGATTGGGTACTCACCCGAGTACCATTTATACCTAACTGACACCATAGTTATTCAGAAGTGAAGTAAGGCCCCGAGCGCAAGTGAGAAATAAATACTGGGGCATTGGGTCTCCCTATCAGAGTCCTCCCGACGGAGTAAAGACATGTAAACGTTCTCCATCAACGTTAACCGTAAACCTGACAGAGGAGGCACACTTCATGATCACCCGGATAATACTTTCGGTGAAACCCAATTTATACAACATTGTCTCCAAATAGTGCCGCTCGACCCTATCAGTCTTCAACATGTCGAGTTTAACTGCACAAAACGTCCTTTTGCATTTCTTCTTCTTCTGAAGGGCATGTACACTCTCGTATGCCACCAAGACATTATCTGTGATTAAATGCAAAGGAGCCAAGGCACTTTTTCCTCGCTAATGACCTCATCAAGTATCCCCCTAAAATGGTTTCTTGTAGCCTTGTTGAATCGAATACAAGGCAATGGGTGATTAAAGTAATTGCCGTTTCGTTAAGTCCCAATGGCAGTACTCCACCATTCACAAACCCCACAGCAAGGCCGCCACTGAGTCATCCCAAAGAATATCCCAGTGTGTCTGATAAAAACTAGCAGTAAATCCATCCACACCAGGTGTCTTCGATCATCCATTGCTTCTGGTACCCGAGGCGTGAGAAAATTGAGAAGATCATCCATCGGCCTATGCCCTTGCGTAGTATACAAAGCCTGATCCATCGGAGGTGAAATATGTTCACTTGATAGATGCGCCCTATCTACGTGGACCAACATATATCACTTGTCCATGTATGTATGCACACTTGTTGGTCATATATTGTACATATGTGCGTGCATCACACGTGCGATGGATCAATACACGCTACCGGCCTACGCAAACCAAATAGTGCAAGATAGATATTCTCCATGCAAACTTGCGCTCTTGGCAATTGCCTCCCACTTCCACTTGCAACCGGTTTAGAACGCGACATAGCCTCGACAACAACATTTGCCCGTCGGTCATCTTCGTCTTTGGGAAACATAACAACGACAACCATCCCATTCTATTGTTAGAACCTTTATTTCGGACTTGAAGTCATGGACATACTGGACCCAAAGTAAAGGCAGCCGCTAATGTCTTGGTTGGCGAAACCACATCTCCTCATACGCTACTGCAATGATGCAGAAATCAAATTGACTCTCATCCATTGGTTCATCGATCGACCCATGGCAAAACCAAAGAGCATGAACAAATTTGTTCTTCGATCCATTGAGCTAATGGAGACAAGATACAAATGTTTTACGAAGACAGACATATCCGTCTCATTCTCTCTCTGACTCTTGACTATCTATCTATCTCATTTGTTGTTGACTCTACTCTTCAAGGACGGCTGACTGGCTGGCTGATAAGTCGACGAGCTAGATCTCGAGATCTTAGGGTTTAGGCGATGGTGGAGGCCTCTCCTGCTCCTGCGCCTCCTCCGCGGCGGCACTGGTAGAGGAGGTCGAAGTAGTTCTGGCACCGGCTGATGTCGCTCGCGTTCGTGTAGATGCACTGCACATCAATCCACGTACAATTAGATTTAGATCGATCATGGCAAAAACTGGTCCAATTCCTTGCAAAAAATGAACGCACGTACATTGGTGAAGTCCTGGTTGTGGATGCCGCACGCGTCGGCGTCGGCGTGGGCGTGGGCGGGAGAGGCGGGCGCCGGCTCCTCTCTGCGCCCGCCCAATAAGGAGCGCGCCATGCTCATCCCGACGGCAAATCCGAACCCTGGCCGACAAATCAAATGATCAAATCATCACCTCCATCGCATCGATCGTCACCCGGACTGAGAATTTCGGTTCACCGACGTACCGTCGTTAACGGATCCGAGGAAGGAGCTCTGGGCCGGGGCCAGCGCGGACGGTTTCTTATCCGGCGCCGGCGCGGACGAGTTCTTGGCCGGCGCCGAAGCGGACGCTGGCTTGGCCGCCGGCTTGGGTGCCGGGGCTGCGGGACGTGGCGCACTGCGGGAACCGCCGCCTCCTCCTGCACGCATGCGAATTTCATTGCATTGATCAAGCGGCCGAGAGTAAAAATTTAGTCACGATCTTGGCCGGTATTCTCCAACATATATGCATGCATCATCGTAGCGTAGGTCGTAACAAAGTTCGTATAGCAAGTAAAGCAAAACTGCATCAGATGGTTCGGTCTGTAGGATGGATGCTGAGAAGAGGAGATCGGCCGGAGACGTACCAGAGCGGCGCCCCATGGTCGATCGATCGGCCGGCCGGACGGATCAGCAGGAGACAAAGTTTGCTTGTGTGTTTCAGCCTTTTCAGATGATGATGGTAATCAAGCGCGGACGAGAGCACAGCCCTTTTATACGCAGGCAGGCAGGCTGGCTGGCGGCGATCTCTCCGCTAATCAAGGGGGTGACATTATCGTCCATTTTGTCTTTCTTCTCCCGCAAGGTGATGGATTAATCCGTCGGGTCCAGTCGATATCGATCCTCGCTAACTTAATAATAACAATGGTAGTGCATGGTGCCGCGCATGCAAAACCGCGCGCTTCATGAGTCGTGACGGTCCCAGACTCCATTTTCTTTTCTTTTTCTTTTTTAAGGACAGACCATCATGACTAGTTTTATTACGAATTAAACATAATTATATCAACCGAAAAGGTGTTTCAACAATTTGCACTAAAAATGACTCAAATCAAGATTGAGCTTCACTGGCAAAGCTGATTTGAAATAGTTGTTTGTTTCAGATTCCAGATTCAGTTTCACTAGCAAAGTTGGCTTCACTGGTAAAGCTTATTCAAAGTTACTGTTTGCTTCATATTCTAGATTCAGCTTCACCGGCATAGCTGAATCTGGTTCCTGAAGCTCAAACAAACAGGGCCTAAAGGTGCTCGACTTATATTACAAAATTATCTCATTTTACAAAAGATAGCAAAATATAAGCCACTCGATATATTACACTTGGCTTTTTACCTATTTTTATAAAAACTACTCCCTCCTTTCCGGTTTATTAGGCTCATCTCATTTTCTTGGTTTTTCCATTTTATAAGTCTTGTTTTCACTTATTTTCACCACATGTTCATATTCCGAGGTGCATAAATTGGTGCATGCAAGGATTAAAAAAAACCAATCAATGCATGTAACAATCCTACTACTCATTTTGTGGTCATCCATGCATACACCGTAGTTAATGCAGATTAAAGTTTGAGTACTTTTGTAAACTACGACATACATTCCTCCACTCACCATCTACCTTGGTTGATGAGACTTTAGATTTAAGCCCTATAAACCGAAAAGGAGGGAGTTTATCTTAGTGCAAAAATAACTTGAGGTTTTTCATTGCGGTTATACTTATTGCATTCTATTTCTTTCTCCTCTCTTTCTCACTCAATCTCTCCTGGCTAGATTTCGTCGCCTTTCGATGCCCTCAATTTATTTCACATTCGCTTTCTAATTACCGCCACTTTGCCACTTTAAAGTTGTGGTATTGCCTTGTAATCTTCACACCCTGTAGTGTACCCATATTAGGACCACATGCAAAAAAGATAAGTTGTTCCGACCATAATTCAAGCGATTTGATGAGTCTTCTGTTCGATAAGCCCATAATCGTCTACCCCCTAGCTTTTCTTGAAAAGGAGTGGTTCCATCTGGACTATCCTTTTTGTGTGTGTTATAATTGGTCATAGAACCCTGAGCAACAAAAAAGAGGACAAATACTTATAAGAATTCGGCTAGGGGCATATGATTTAGCTATCGAGAGGGAATCTTGTGAACTTTTAGTATGAATCCCGCACTTCGAGGCGATCAAAGGGAATCTTTTAAAGACTTGGGCTCAATATTTCTCTTCCATGTCCCTATGGCCTACCCTAATGGAAACAAAGAGAAAGGCCCCATTGTCTAAACCCTTTTGAAGCTAGTCAAAGGGATGGACGTCGTGTGGCCCACGGATCAGGGCTTTGGCCCGGAAACGCGCGAGGGAGTGTCGGAAATCCATCCCCACTTGCATGTATCCCTAATATATGTATACAAGGGTGGTGTGATGTGAAAAGATCTAATACACAACTTTGATGTGGCACTTCCTTCACAAACAAGCAGGACTATCCAGCACAAAGGTTTTGGACTTAGAGTGCTAATCCCCCACTTCAAGGTGAAGAGAGGGAATCATGTGAAGACATGGGCTCAATCTTGGTTTGACATGTCCCTATGACCTGCCAAGTGCAGGTATGTTCTGCTTCATTGATCTTCATTCTTCCACGTACATGAAAGCCCATTTATGCATTGCAACGATGATGACATTCTTTACTATAGGCCGCCTGGAAGAAGTCAGATGGCGGGAGGAGGCGCGGGCTAGTCTGCTACAAATGAAGGGCGCCTTGGCTCAACAGCAGGATTTCTTTGTTATGCAAGCCAAATAGCAACATGAGCAAAATTCGAGCAATGGAAAGCGGTAAAACCTAGCGCGTGCAGATGTCGTCGTCGAGGATTTGATGGCCGGTGACCTCGGGGTAGCACCGGTCGCCGGAGAGTAGAGGGGTGGTGGCCTCAGGAACCAGCGATCGCCGGAGAGGAGAAGGGTAGTAGGATCGGGAACCAGCAGTTGCCGGAGTGGAAATGGCCTGGTGTATGAGTATGCAGGAGAGAGTAGAGAAAAGGATAAAGTGTGCGTTCGCACCAACAGAACCCACAGCGATTGAGAAGACAGCGGTGACGTGGCTGCTGCTTTGAGCCTTAAGACGCGTACTTTAGATGGAACGGTAGCTGATGCAATCGATGGAATTAAGTGTCTTAATATCTGACGACCGCCCGTTAATATTTCCCAAAATCAATTTTTTTTCTCGGTGGTCCATTGGTCTACCACGTAGGGCACAACCAAAGAGTTATAAAATGGTCTGTTACAAAGATAAGGCATATCTTGTTCACTCTATTATTCAAGGACGAACGGCTGACTGGCTGACAAGTCAATGAGCAATACGAGGAAACTGAAGACCCGGAAGGAAACAAGCTAGTAGGGTCATCTGGCTATCAATCTGGCTGAGACGTAGGGCTCTGTAATAATCGATCTTAGGGTTAACCCTCAGGCGATGGTGGACGCTCCTCCTGCTCCTCCTCCTCCTCCTCCTCGGCGGCACTGGCAGAGCAGGTCGAAGTAGTTCTGGCACCTGCTGATGGCGCTCTCGTTGCCGTAGAACATTGTCCCACTCTTTTCCCTTTTCCCAATATACTATATTTTTACTTAATATTCACTTCTTACCATATATTGAAAAATTGATTGTTTAGTCTTTTCACTATACTTTTTGTTTTTTCCTTCATGGTTAGTACTAGAGGAGTGACCGAGGCGATTCGAACCGGTTTTCTCTGAGTTTTTTCTTCCTTTTTATGTTTTTTTTGTTTCTTTTCTTTTTTCTTCTCTGAACTTTTTATTTTTTGCATTTGTTTCTTTGTTTTTTTTATTTTATTTTTCCTTTGGTTTCTTGTGTTTCTTTTATTTATTTTTCTCCCATTTTTTTCATGCTTTTTTCAAAAAAAATCTTTGTTTCTATTTTTTTATTTTATTTTTTATTTTTTTATTTTTCCCAATAAACGTTTAACATTGCTACAATACTCATTTAATTTTTTTTAATATCCGGTCAACACTTTTTATATACACATTTTAAACATTTTTCAAATGCTTGATGAACTTTCTTTTTCAAATACAAGATTAATTTTTTTAATACATGGTCAACTTTTCTCCTATACACACTTTCAAAGTCCTTCAAATGTTTGATTAAAACTTTTTAAATACAAGATTACCATTTTGTAATATATGGTCAATTTTTTTCTGTGCACATTTAACATTTTCAAATGCTTAATTAACATGTTTTAATACAATATTAAAAATATCGAATAGATGGTCAACATTTTTTCTAAACACGTTTAACATTTTAAAAATGCTTGATTAACATTTTTCAAATACTTGTTAAACATTCTATTAATGCTTGGCTAACATTTTTATATACATGATCATTTTTTTTCCATCATTCTTTGATTACATGGTCAAGATTTTTTTAGGAACCTAATAAGTGCCACACGTGTGGCACGGACACATGGCAACTCAAAATATTTTTGAAGGCAAGTTTAGTGATGCGAGGATGGCAACTTTAGTAGTCAAGCATGGCAACTTCTTTTCGGAGGGCAAGTTTTAGTTTTTTTTTCTTTTTTTGGTTTGTTTTCTCTTTTCGGATTGCAACTTTAGTTGTAAAAAATGTCAGGGCCGGAGTGCTTCGTCCCACACGTGTGACACTTATCATTTGGATTTTTCTATACATATTTAACATTTTCGAAAGACAAGTTTAACATTTTTTTGAGACCTGTAGATGTGTATTATGTGATGATAAGCCTAATGAATACCTACTTCACCTATTTTTCAGTTGTGATTTCAGCCAGAATTTTTGGCTGGCCATTAGTTTTCGATGGAACACAAACTATGACCTCACAGAGATGCTCATGGATGGAAAAAGGCAGAATAATGTCAGCTGCTTCAAAGAATGCCTAATTGCAGGTTTGTGGAGCCTATGGAAACATAGAAATAGCATCATATTTGATCACAAAGCAAAGAGCATGGCATTATGTACATCAAGTTTCAAGGAACACTTTGATATGATCTTCAAAAAGGCAAAACCTAGCTTGAAACAAGAAATGCAGTCTTGGCTAGATTACTTGTAGATTTGGTCTTACTTTGAACACATCCTTGTAAAGCCTCATGTAATTGCCTCATCATATTAATGAAAATAGAGTTACAGTGGGGACCTTCCCCACCGTGTTTGCTCAAAAAAAAGTTTAACATTTTCTAATACATGGTCAACATTTTTATATACACATTTAAGTTTTCTTTTTCAAATACAAGTTTAATATCTTTTGAATACATGGTCAAAAAATGTATATACATGTTTAACATTTTTTGAACACTTGTTGAACATTTTTTTAAATACATAGATTAACCTTTTTCAAGTTCATGATCAACATTTTTTCTATACACATTTCATGTTGTATATTTTTGTATACATAATGAACATTTATTTATATGCATTTAACATTTAACATTTTTTAAATGCTTGATTAAAATTTATTGAAATATTTTATGTAAAGTATTTATTGTAATATAGAATATTTGGGAATAAAAATAAAGTAAAAAACATAAAAACATAAAAAAAAACGAGAATATGTCTTGTGGCCTGTGATCGGCGGTGCGATGGGCCAGCCCAATAGAGAGTCACCTTCTGTGAGACTTCCTCTTGTCTTGCTGAATGCGAGATGTAGGGGCACCCACGACTTAACTGTCACCGCTCCTTAACTGCCCAAGCTAATTTTTAGACAAATCAACAATCTAAAAAAAATGACAACCAACAATCAGCCCAGTGGCCCAATGAAACTAGAAGCAACTATGGGTGTGGCCTGCACAACAAAAACAGGCTACAACAACAAAAATGATATGAGGTGAATGAGACCAAATTATATCTTAGCTGAATGAGTTCTTGGCACTCCTTTTATTTAATCCTTTGTCTTTCTTCTCCCTCAAAAATATATTACTAGTACGACCTAGCAACTTTATACTAAATCAACCATAACTAATATGAAATGGGAGGAGTATATATAATACATAAAAGTACAAGATTGAAAAGAGTGCTCACACACCGATGTCCGATGGTGAGAAAAAAGGTGAAGGGGGAAAAGATGATTGCCTGGGAAGAAGGAAGAGGGAGTGAGAAACAATTTTCTTGTATAGGACTTGAAGCCATGAGTTGGTATGGTTGACACTTTTTTTTTACTTGAAAAGTTATTTAATCTCATTATTTTTTGTTCTTCCGTGGCAACAAAACAAAGAAATGGGTTAGAACATCTAGAATCTAAAACAAAGACAACTACTTATCAACTTAAGCATCCATTGGTTCCAGTGGAGTAAAAAAGTAAAAAAAATATTTTTATATTATGGGACAGAGGGAGTAGCATACAAAAATGGTTGAAATAGCAACCGGTATTCACTAGTAAAGATGTAATTCCAAAGAGAAAAGGAAGCATACGAGTAGCCAAGATACCAACTAACAAAAGGCACATACCGCACGGCAGACAAGATATTTCGAAGCAAATTACTAACTGTTAACCCTTCTAATAATGAAACTAGATTCACATGATTTAGAGGTCTGGAACAAAGATAACAACACATCACCGAGCGCCAAACCAGCACGCCGGCCGACAAAGCACAAACAGCTTCACTTCTAGTACCATTGTTACAAGCAGAACAATGAACCAAAACATATCCATCAACTGCTAAATCACAGCTGAAACTAAAGACAGTACGCTATCCATTTTCCAGGCCTTCGCGTGACAGGACAAGAGCCAGGATTTGAATGGAATGCTTCAGACACCACCTTCGACAACTTGATCGTAGTTCTATGCAGCAAGCTTCATGAAACGTCCTTCTATACAGCCCTCCAATGTTGCTTATGCACTCATGTTGGGCGGATGATTTAAAATAACTCGTCCATAGGAATTTTACGATGCTCGTTCCTCTTGTAAAGCTCCACCTGCATATGTGCTCGTCCATAGGAATTTTACGATGCTCGTTCCTCTTGTAAAGCTCCACCTGCATATGTGGAACAATCAGAGGAAACCCGACATAAGCATACTTTTAAATCGCGGGCGAAGGAGTTTAGCTGAAGGAAATTGGCAGCGAAATTATAGGAAGGAAGGTCACGATCTCCGGCGAAATTGGCGCGATCACCCATGACTTTGGGAAGGAAGCAAATCGCGGGGAAGATTCTGAACCCCGATAGCGCCGCTATAGCGGTAATTTCGCCCGCGATTTAAAAGTATGTATATAAGTGACAAGGCCAGACCCTTGAGCGTTATAAGCAGGTTAGCCGTGACAAGCTCAGACCCTTGAGCATTAGCCGCCCGGTTAGGCTCAATCCACTTCTTCAACGGATCCATCCTGTGGGTGGTCCTATTTCTCAAATATTCAAAAAATGAATAGCTTTGTAAAATATTGTGGGAAGCGTTAAACCCTTTTCTCGAGCCGCACTTGTATTTATATGGATGTTGTCGTGGCTTACAAGATGATCGATCAAGAGTTTGATCGAGAGGTACAGAGAGAGAAGGTCGGTAGAGGAGGAGTCAAACAGAAGAAATGATAGGACCTTGACGAATTCATATACAAAAGAGTTCATTGACTCATCGGATTTAGACGACAAGGATGTCGAAATGATAATAATAATGAGCATTCAGGAGGAATGGGAGAAGCAACAAGAGCATGTTGTGTTGTCGACAATTTCCGGAATTAAAGTTAGCAGAGATGCCCCATCTATTTCAAATCTCCTATTCGCGGATGATTCATTAATCCTGATGCAAGCTAATTCCATGAACGTGGAGGCGCTGAAAGCAGTTTTGGATGCTTATTGTGTTGCATCAGGGCAAATGGTGAGTGTTGAAAAATCTAGTATATATTTTAGTTCCAACACGAAAGTGGAAGATAAGGCACATATATGTACTATTCTGAACATTATGACTGAAGCTCTCAATGACAAATATTTGGGTCTGCCTTCAAATGTGGGTATGGACAAAAATGATTGTTTCCAACTCTTAATAGATCGAATTGTTATGAAAATCAGTGGTTGGAAGGAAAAGTTGCTATCAGCAGGAGGAAAAGAAATCCTTCTCAAATCGGTTGTACAAGCTATCCCAACTTATGCAATGTCCGTCTTTAAAATTCCTAAAAAGATTTGTAAAGGAATCATTGACGCGATGTCGCATTTTTGGTGGGGTGACGAAGACAATCAGAAGAGAATGCATTGGATGGCATGGTGGAAGATGTGTTTACCTAAAGACCAAGGAGGAATGGGTTTTCGAGACATACATTGTTTCAATCTGGCCTTGTTAGCCAAACAAGCGTGGCGCCTGCTTGATAACCCTGATTCCCTATGTGCCACCATTTTGAGAGCTAAATATTTTCCAGATGGAGATTTAATGAATGCGGGTCTGAAAAAAGGATCCTCTTTCACTTGGCAAAGCATTATGGCCGGAGTGGATTCTCTCAAAAAAGGTTATATTTGAAGAGTTGGTAATGGACAGAATATTGATATCTGGAGAGATGCATGGATCCCGAATGGGGCAAATAGGAAAATTATCACTCCTAGAAAAGGGCAGATTCTAACAAAAGTTGTTGATCTTATAGATCCAATCAACAATTGCTGGGATGAAGATTTGGTAAGACAAACATTGTGGCCAATTGATGTCCAGAGGGTGCTTATGATCCCTCTCCCCACGTATGACATGTCGGATTTCATAGCTTGGAGTTTTACAAAGAATGGACTGTTCACGGTTCGTTCTTCTTATCTGGAGGAATGGAAAACGCAACATGGGAGGAAATTGCAACACTCAGATGGCATGGGAGGAATAAATGTCAATACTATTTGGAGCAAGATTTGGAAATTATATTGTCCACCAAAAGTGAAGATTTTTATTTGGCGTACCTTACATGGAACCCTCCCGTGTCGTGTTACACTTGCTAATAGACATATGAAAGTTTCGCCCACCTGCCCATCATGTTCGAACGGGCATGAAGATACTAAACACTTATTATTTTTATGTCAAAAGGCAAAAGAGGCGTGGGAGAAACTGGGACTACACGAAGCCATTAAAAAAGCATGTGCGGTCGATCGTGCAGGAGAGGCAGTACTTGAATTTCTACTTTTTATGCCAGAACATGAGCTATCTACAGTGGGCATACAGAATGTTCGCGAACTGACCGCTGTAACAGCCTGGTATTTATGATGGGAAAGACGTTCGCTAGTCCATCAGGAGAAGACCCAAGATACATACCAAATTTCGATGGGAGCCCGTGCTATAACGACGAACTATGTTATTGCCCAATCCTCCAAGGCAACAAATAAAATAGAGGGATGGACGAGACCCCCTCTAGGTTTTGTGAAATTAAATGTCGATGCTTCTTTCAATCAAGACATGCTTAGAGGCACAGCGGGAGCTGAGATGATAAAGGAAGATTTATTGTTGGAGGGAATTGGAAAATGGATTGGTGTGCAGATGTTTTAACAGCAGAAGCAAGATGTACTTAGTGGCATTCTCCATCTTGAACATGGCGTCAACATTCATACATTCAGATCTCACGCCCCATGAAGCAAGCTGCACTAGTTTGTCTCCAAAGCGATGGCGATTTCGAGTAGGAGGGGCTCGCTCGGCTTTCCAAGCGTGGCCACTCATTTAATCTTAGAGCATTGTGCAGCAGCCAGGATTCCTGCTCGCCCAAGAAAAGCTGGAATATTTGGAGCCACTCCATCGGCAACAGATTCTCTAACAATAATAAACTAATGCACGCACGCACGGCCTCTCATAAACTAATCATAAAGGCTAATGCCACTGCATGATACTAGTACTACTCCTAAACCACCATTAAGCTGTTGACAAAGGTGAGACCACCAACTAGCAGCTGCAGTCAAAATGAAGAAAGTGGCAATGCAGTCAAAATGCAGCTAAAATGAAAAGGAAAAATGGAAAAGGGGGTAAAAGAAAAAGGGGGGAAACGCAGCAAATGAAGAAGCAACCGCATCGTAAAAAAGGGATGAAAGAAAATGTTCAAAGATCCCGAACCCTATGTACAAAAAGCACAGTCGGTTGCTGCATTGGTTCTGACCCAAGAACCACACACTAGTCTAGAGATGCCAACTTGAGTCCATCCTACACACACGGTGGTCGGCCATGCGCATCACTACCACAACAGGCACTGTTATGCTAGCGCTAGCTAACCCACTCGCCGGCCCAGAGAGCTCACAGCTCCAGGTGCTGCTCGTAGTAGAGCTCGCTGAGGCAGGGCGACAGGATCTCCTCCTCCAGCATCTTGAGCACCGCCCCCATCGACGGCCGCTGCCCCGGGTCGGCGTCCGTGCACATGGCCGCGATGTCCAGGATCCCCTCCACCGCCTCCACCTCCGCGTCGCCCGACCGCTCGTCCAGGATCTCCTCCAGACGGTGCTCACCGCTCAGCGTGTTCAGCTGCATGCATTGCCACAGTAAACCAAAAGTTCAGACATCACACAGTGGATTATTCATCAGAGTGTCTTGTTTTGGGATCCAGGCCATGGATGGAGGCTTCTTTGGAGTTGGTTACAGCTTTGGAACAAGACTGCTTTACTTACCCAGCCGACGATGTTGAGACCCTTGCTGAGGAAGCAAGAATCCGTAGGCCGCTTTCCGGTCACCAGTTCCAGCAAAAGCACCCCAAAGCTATACACGTCTGATTTCTCGGTCGAGTGCCCGTTTTGCAGGTACTCTGGCAGCAAAGTTAAAATGACCTCTCTTATCAGATTAGATGAAAAGATAAGCTACTTATTTATTGTCCAGAACTTGCCAAATTTCTTAACAATAAGCTACACAACAATTCCATGGTGTCGAAGGAATTTACAGGAATTAACAAGACATCTTTCCCTCAAAGTAATGCACAAATATTAGTTAACAAATGTGTTACAATGTGAACTAGCATAGAGAGAACGAGTACCTGGTGCAAGGTACCCGAAGGTACCCGCCACGACGGTGGTTACGTGGGTCTCGTTGTCTACCAGCAGCCTCGCGAGGCCGAAATCAGACACGCGTGGCTCCAAGCATCTGTCCAGAAGGACGTTGCTGGCTTTGATGTCCCGGTGGACGATCCCCGGCGAGCAATCATGGTGCAAATACGCCAGCCCTCTAGCGGAGCCCAGGGCAATCTTCATACGTGCATTCCAGTTCAATGGCTGATCCTCCTGCGCATCTCCTGCCATTGGTAATGGTAACACAGCAGAGTAAGCACCAGTCAACATAAGATGGCATTGCAACCATAATGATGAAATGTTAGTTAGTATGTTTGAGAGATATATAGATATAGTGGGCCTTACCATGGAGGTAGCTATCCAAGCTGCCAAGCTCCATGAAATCATATATGAGTAGCTTAGCTGTGGAGAGCCGGCAGTATCCTCGCAGATTGACAAGGTTGATATGCCTAATGCTGCCCAGGATCTCGAGCTCCTTCTCGAAAGTCTTGTCTCGCCTCTCTCGGTTGAGGTCAATCCTCTTGACAGCGAATGCCGTGCCGTCGTCCATCACCATCTTGTACACCGTACCAAACCCGCCACAACCAACCACATCCTCTTCATCAAGCAGCTCCAGCCTTCTAATGATCTCGCCCGACGAATACGGAAGATTCCACTGGTATGTCACAAGCTTTGCACCTAAGTCGTCAAGGCATCACGCAGTTAGTTAGTGAGACTTGACAAATTTAATCAAGTGACATAGTTGGTGTCGGTTTTTCATTACCATCTGGGAGAGTTTGCTTGTCCATTTTCTCATAGTTGACACCAGTCTTCTTCCTGGACAGCAAGCATACCCAGAGGAAGCCTAGCACCGCGACCAGCGCGACGGCCATGGTTGACATTGAACCGATCACAACGCCATTCAGAAAGTGCGAGGTTTTATTATTGTTGGTGATTGGAGAAACACCTGTTTTGTGACCAAAAGAAATGAACACATCAGTCAGTGGCACAGATCCTAGCAAAATTCAAAAATTAGTCCCCACATTGCCAAGGCAGCATTAGAATTTAAAAGACTTGCCAGAGGAGGAGAGGGGGTCAGAGTGCGGCAGCACCGCAGGGAACCCGAGGGTTCCACGGCAACCTTTCTGGATGGGCAGCCCACAAAGCTCCAGATTTCCGACATACCTGCAGCATTTGAAACACACCAGAGCATTAAAAACAGGCTGATCCAGTACTGTATGGTTGTGGTACAAACTACGTAAAAGATACCACTCATTCATATTTGCAACATGTACCGACATCATCAAAAAGAAAGGCACACAAACTGGATGGAGATGAGGCCAGTGCTAAGCTTACGAGCTGCTCTTGAAGGTTCCGAGGACGCCGACATTCGGGATCTCTCCCGAGAAGAAGTTGGTGGAGAGGTTCCTACATTGTGAAATCAAGTTCAGCATCAGCATTCTTGTCAATTCAAGTTGTAAACACTGCCATGGAGATTCACACCAGCATCAACTTACAGGAACCGCAGATGAGTTAGGCTTCCGATCGTCGCCGGTATCGCGCCCCGCAGCAGATTGCTGGACAGGTCCCTGCATTTTATTTGACACACGTAATCAGACTGACAACACATTAGAGCATCCAAATGTGTAACAAAGGGGACCATGGTGGTGCCAAGAACCTACAGGATGGTGAGGTGAGTGAGGTCGCCGATCCCCGGAGGGATGCCCCCTTGCAGGTAGTTGGCTCTCAGGTAACTGAAGAACATGCAGGCAGACAATCAGAGCACCAACATTTTTTTTATTTCAGCAAACTGATAATCTAGCAGACAAAATAAAACAAATCCAATCCAATGAACTACTACTAGTAGTATAAAGAAAATGTAGATGGTATCCTGGTGGCATACGTACATGGCTCTGAGCTCGGTGCAGTTCCTGATCTCGGCGGGGATGGGGCCGTGCAGGCTGTTCTGGTGCAGAGCTCTGAAGAAAGAGGAAACAGGGGGTGTGAGGCCAATAAAACAGGTGGTTTCAGAGCTCTGAAAAATTGAACAGAGTGGATTTCGTTTGTGGGGGAAGCTATGAAACCAATCAAATCTTACAGTCTCTGCAGCTTGGTGAGCCTGCCGATGCTGGGGGAGATGATGCCTCCGAACTGCATGTAGGGCAGATTTCTGCCACACAAACACACACCCAAAAAACAAAGGGAGAGGTTATTCATTCATTCACGGGTGGGGCTAGAAAGCAAGGAAGGAATCCAAGAAGGAACACACACACATATGCATGGGGAACCGTGCCAGCGAGCACCCACGCAACAATCCAATCCAGAGAAACCAAAAATGCCACTACTCGGTCTAATGAATCTGATCTAAAATGGAGAAGGAGGAAGCGGGGAAGAAGAAGGAGGAGGAGGCAGGAGCGTACATGGACTGGACCCTGAGGTCCGGGAAGGAGCAGGAGACGCCCTCCCAGCCGCAGGGGTTAGGGTCGGCGGCCCGCCAGCTCCCCAGCCGCTGCCCCGCCGTGGCGTTGAAGGCCACCTTGAGCTCCAGCAGCGCCTCCCCTGCGACCGACCACCACGTCACGTCAGCGAAGATTTATTCAGCACAGTAGATGGATTGGAAATGGAACGCGGCGGATGCGGTACCGTCCGGAGTGAGCGCCATGGACGCGGTGCAGCAGAGGAGGAGGAAGAGGAGGAGGGCCGCGGCGCCCCCATTGCCGCCGCTCAGCTTCTTGGTCCCGCTCCCGGGGTTGGCGGCCATGGTGGGTGGCTGGGGTTTGGGGTGGCTGAGTGAGTGAGTGAGCTTGGGGAGTGAGAGTGAGGTGTGGGAGAAGCTAGCCAAGGCAAGGCTTTAATTATTGGATTGCTGCGCATGTGTGGGAGGGCTGACGGCGGGGCACTGTAGAGCGCCTGACCCGTGGGGCCATGCTTGTCCGTGGTCCCGCTGCCCAGTCAGATACGCAGGGGCTCGTGGTCCACGCGGCGGGGTCGTGGCCGCTTTCGAAAAAGTGGGAGCTTTCAAGATTAGACCGCACGATCCCAAACGGACATCTGTTTTATTCGGATTCTGTCCGTTTGGATAGAGCCATGAAATTATGTCCGAGTCATTTTTAGGATGCGGTGACCGTGCGTCCAACACGCGGACACATCTCAGTCGTATCCCGTTGATGTATATTTTTTTCAAGCACATATCTTTTTTTTCATCATTGATTTTTGATACATGAAAATATATCACCAAATGTTGACTAGAAAAGCAAGATAAGAAAAAACAAGAACCACAAGAATATAATTTAGAAGATAACCAGCCTCCATAATTGTTCTCGTAAGTTGGATCGGTGCCTTCTCGATGCATTCATTGTTGATCTGCGGAGGCTCGATCTTGCGTGCTTCTTTCTTCTTCGAGTCTAAAGAAGTATACGTTGCTTCCTCGCATCTAGTCTTATGTCTAGCCCCTATTCTAGCAACATGTGCACTAGTCTCATCTCTAGCCTCTATGCTAGATAAAAATGCGCGAACATCTACTAAATTGCGCTCTATCAATATATCGATGTACTCTTTTTTCCAATACCCAAACTTGCATCCATTCTACACAATAAAATTTTAAGTTGGCACAACTAGTCAAATTCGAGAGCACAACCGAAGCTAAAGTAGCACATACCTCATCGGTTGAGCACTTGATGAACACTCATCCGGAATGTTTCGGCATTGTAGACACGCGACGCAAGACCTTCTTTGGGCAGTCGTCGCACTTAATGAGTGGCAACGGCGTGCCGGCGAGCTTTTGGGTCAGCACCGAGTCCGGCCGACCGCCGTTCATGTATCTACTGGCGGACCGTCGACGGTGTAGATCCGAGCGGCTAGAGGCGGAGTCAGTACCTGCATGTGGCCTTGCCGGGGCCTTCTGGCCCGGTGCACGGCCAGTCCATGGCACGGCGCGACCTTCCACAGTTGAACGAGCTCAAACCCGACTGGATCCGCTCCAAATCCGGCCACAGGGTGTGCAAATCAGGTGACCGTGGTTGGGTAGCTCGGGGGTGTCGAGGAAAAGGGGGGTGCGCGAGCGCGCGTCCTAGCTGCACACTACAATGGCAGCGGCGGCGGCGCCGAGGGGCAAGATTGGAGGGGGTGCGGCTGGAGGGGGAGTGGCGGATAGAAAAATGGATCCCTGTGCCATCGACGGGCGAGCCAAGGGAGGACACACGCACATGGCCGCCCATCCGCGCTGTCCGTTTCACCTTAAAAGCGACCCAAACTTGAACTGGGGATGGGTCAAAAGCGGACAAAAACGGATAAAAATCCGTTTACGTCCGCGCGCTGGGCTGTTTGGTATGTTCATTTTATCCTAAACGAACGCATCCGAACAAGATGGGGTCACGCGCTGGAGTTGGCTTTAGACAAAAAAAAGCAGTGAGAAGTGGCTTCAGCTCAGCTCAACTGGAGGAACTAGTGCCATCCATCAACTGTTTGGTATCTTTTCTCTCTTTTTTTTTCCTTGTCCCTTCATTGGTCAATGGGCGGATAAGTAGACTTGGACATTTCAAGATGCCCACTCGGTGACTAGCGTTGAAGATGCCCTAACCAGAGATGAGACGATGAACTCCAAAGGTGGCAATTTGTGCTTTCCTTAGTAGTATGACGCAGCAGTTCAGTAGAGCACTGAGGGGAGTGTGGAAGGGCGGGGAGCAAGATCCAAATCCAAAAAACCTCAACAACGGAAACGGATTGACTCAGCTAGCCGTTGATGATGGGATGGGAAAGGATGAAACCGAGGCCAAAGTATTCACCCACTCACTCACGTTTGAAAAATATAAAATGACAGACAAACAAAGGAGCGCCCACTGCCCGGTTCCATCCAGCATTACGCACAAGAATTAAACCAAACAATGATAAGTGTAATCAATATATCATCTCATATGCTCTTTCAACACTAGTGACTCGGCTTTCAAGTGGGATTTTATCTATAGACCCAAGGGCCAGGGCAGGGTAAGGATTAGGAGCTCAGAGGTCAAGAACAGATGCTTGCTCGGCAAATGGTTGTACACACTTTTCTGTTGAGACCGAAAGAATGTGGGGTGCAAATTTTGCGAAATAAGTATCTGCGTTCAAAGGCTCTGGCCGGGTTACGGTCAGACCCAATGACTCTCCTTTCTGGGAAGCGCTGATGAGAGCGAGAGCTGCTTCTTCCATAAAACTGAATTTATATTTGAGAACGGTACCAAGACTACATTCTGGAAAGATACTCCCTCAGTTCCAAAAATCTTGTCTTACATTCGTCTAGATATAGGTGTATCTAATACTAAACGTGACTTGATACATTCGTATTTAGACAAATTTAAGACAAGAATTTTGGGACGGGGGAGTACTTGATTGGGGAAGACGCCACTAGCCACACGATACCCTTCTCTGGTTTGTGCACAAGGAAGTTATTCTAATTAAGGTTAACTTAGTCAAGCGAAGATGGGGGGTGTAAATGATGTTGTTTTTATGATCAAGGTGAAAATATCCCTGTTCAAGAATTCATCCGATTAACCAGTTAACTTGCCGATTAATCCCTACTCATAGGGTCCCCGAGTAGCCGATTACCTGATAAATCGTCCGATTAATTGATTAAATGGCCGATTAACTTGCCGATTAGCCTATTAATCCCCTATTCACCAGTCGACCGAGCAGCTACCAGTTAACGATTTCCTCAACAATGGAAAATATATAACACCTCTTTCTCAAATGTCCTCTCATCAAACTTTTGTGGGGTACGGTTCATGTATCCTTTAATGTTAACCCACCAACTAGTATTAACACGTTATTTGGATCGTGGCTAGATGGAGTGGAGCCAAGTATTGCAGGACATATTCGGATAGGAGTATGTGCATTGCTCGGGGCTATATGGAACTACACAAATGGCATCATTTTTAACAGACAAACTCTTATAATTCTTTTCCAGGTTAAATACAAAGTCACTGCTTGGATCCGTATCTGGTCGTTACTCAATCATGTGGAAGCCAAAGATCATATGGCTATTGGGTGTAATCAGTGGAAGATGGTAGCACGGGATACTTATAACTGGTTTGGATGACAGCTGAATAATAGACTACGTGTTTAGTCATCTTGTTCAATTTTTGCCGGTTGTGACAACTTTATTTATCATCTTATTTTGGCTTTTTTTTAAAGCAACGACTATGTCACAGACCTTTTGTGCAACCTTTTGATTAATAATATGGATGCATGCATCATTTATATGCTGAGGCCGGGGCAATCCTTTCTTTTCAAAAAGAATCTCATATGCACCTTCAACACTAGTGACTCAGCTCATGACAGAAAATCACTACTCCCTCTATTCCATAATGCAGTGCTTCCTCTATCCCCGTGCTTCAATTTTGACCGTAAATTTAACTACCAAGACCGATTGCAGCGGAAGCAAAAATTATATCAGTGAATTCATATTCGAAAGAAGTTTTCAATTATATAATTTTTTCTCCCGCCGCAGTTGGTCTCGTTGGTTAAATTTATGGTCAAAGTTAGACCTCGGGAAGCGCGGGCACACTATATTTTGGAATGAAGAGAGTACATCCTTAGAGATTACACTATGGCACGCTCTACTAAGTGTAACATCGTCTCTAGTGGACTTCCTTTTCCCAAAAAAATGACCAGGCCTACCGATAATGAACCCATCTCTTGAAATAGGCTTCGCCCCGCTTTATACATAAAGCAACAAATCAAAGTACATGGCCAAAAGATATAATATAGTGGGGAGCCCCCTTACAAAGCAGATCAAAAGATATAAGAAAAACCTAGAACAAGCCAGATACATTTCCAATCCCGAGCGAAGACTCCTGAGCTCCATGACAACACCCCCAGGAGGATGGCGGCGCAAAGCGTTGCCGCTGCCGAGTCTGATGACAGACAAAGGTTTTCACCTGAAGCCCTGGCACAAGGACGAGATCCACGACAACGCATTTAAGAAGCAAGCGGCGCCCACAGGCGTCACCGACGCCGACGCCAGAAGTGCGAACCTTTCACTCGGACACTCAACTACACCACCAAGAGGAGTCCGAGCCACCACCCCAACAATGGCCAACTTGTCCACCCCAGAGCTGGGCACTGCTAGTGCAGATCTGAGCCTCCCGCCACTACACCCCTTGTCGCCCACATGACCAAGAGATGGAGCCACCACCGCCACCACGGAGCCTGCCGGAAAGCCAACCGTGAAGCCCGCTGCCCGGAACTGCCGCCCCAACATCCATGTCCCTAGGCCAGGACCGGTTTCCAGCCGGTGGCCGGGCACCCGGGGGTAGAGGGCCTGGGCACCGGGAGTGTCCAGGAACTCCGATTCCTCGTTCTTCTCGTCCTTCTCTTCTCTCTCTTGCTCCGTAGATGCTGGCGTCTCCATTCTCACCTTGTCACGATCATCTCCTTGGTACCTAAGAATGCATAACACTTCCGTTTGAGGTAGGACCCAACTCTCGTGTGAATTCGAATGGAGTTCGAAGAGGAAGGAGTTAACCCCGATTTTGATGGCACGTGCGCGAGCTCTTGTCATTGGGCCTCTTCGTGTTTGCGGTGGCGACGTAAGGCCAACTCCACCGCGCGACCCTATCCTGTCCGGCCCCGTCTGTTTGGGGTAAAACAGACAAAGGAGGCGGCCCAGCGCGCGACGGCCCGGGCCCATCTTGTCCGTTTTGTGTCCGAGCCGGCCCATTTCGAGCGCAAACTTGCGCCAGGTTTGGGTCGCGATGGACACCAAACGGACGCGTGCCTCGTCTG